CCGCCCCCCCCCCCCCCCCCCCCCCCCCCGCGGCTTTGCAAAGCCTCTGGGAAGCTGGCAGGGGAGCAGTCCAGGCGGCTTGGGCTGCCTCGCTGCCCGAGCCCCCCCGCAGCTTTGCAAAGCCGTGGGGAAGCCGGCAGCGGAGCAGTCCAGGCGCGCCTGGGCTGCCCCGCTGCCCGAGCCCCTCCGCGGCTTTGCTCTGTGTCTTCTTGGTCTGCAGACCAGGGAGACGCAGAGAAAGCCCCAGAGTACACAGGTGGAAGGACCGCGAGGTCCCGCAGTCCGTGTACTCTGGGGTAGCCCCGTTCGTATCTGCGGATCCGACATAAGTCGGATCCGCGTAAGTCGGGGACTGCCTGTATTCCTATCTCATTTGCTGCAGTAACTCTAATAATTGCTCACAGAAAATATTGATATGGTTCCTCACCATTTTGCTGCACACAGAAAACATATGTTGTCATACATCATACCATCGGTGCCATAGACAGGATTGTACTCTTTCGTACAGAGGAGGGTTTTGCCCATTGGTGGTTCTGGATAGGCACTACAGTCATTCTGCAACTGTAAATATAGAGTTTTTGAGACACCTAGATCAACGAATGTTAATAACCGTTACTGTTAATTCTCTTGGGGGTATATTACAGGAATGCTGGCTATTATGGAACTACCTCCTATTAATGTGGCAAACTCTGTGACTGACCATATGAAACACATGGGGATAGTCTCTTTCCTGAAGTAAGTGAACTTTTTAATCCATTCCCAAAATAAGTGTTTCTATATCTCAGTTGGAAATATCAGTGCCACAATGCCAACATCCAATAACTAATACCAATAATGATAACAACTGGTACCATTTTGCTTTTTGATTAAGCCACCACTCTAGGTTTCTAGACTATACTCACCACAAATATCTGAGCACTTCACTCTAGTTTTAGTGTAGAAAAGTTGGCCACAGTGCAGCCCCTAACTAATGATTAGGGGAGAGAGAAAATTACTAAACCAGAAAAATTGGACTAACCTGATTTGCAGGTTCACTGACAACACCTAGAGCAAAAATATTGATACTCAGTATACAACGAGACAAATTCTTGCGATGGAAATCAAGTTATAAACATTAATTCAAGGAAAATGTGCACTGAACACTTTAACTGCAACGAATGGACCATACGTGGTGTTTGCACAATTTGGAAATATAACTGTTTGTTTATTATTTACAACTAGAAAATGAACCTGTTGCTCATGTCAGCAATGTCTTTGTACGAACTGGGGGGTAAGGGAGGAGCTTCAGCACCCCCTCCCCTGCTTAGGAGGCTCTGGTGGGACTAGGGATGAGGGATTCAGGATGCAGGCTGCCCCAGGGAGAGAGGACTACCCAGCCCTCTCTCACCACAGCAGCTTGTTGAGGAGTGCCTGTCTATGACCACTACAGCGGGCACAGCTGGGGGAGGGGTGCGTGTTCACTGGCTGGAGGACAGACAGGCAGACTCTGGGTATGTCTACACTACAGTGCTATTTCAAATTAACTTAATTCGAAATAGTTAATTCGAATTAAGCTAATTCAAAATAACACATTAATAGCAAAATAATAGCATTTTGCTATTTCAAAATAGCACGTCCACGCTGAGTGGACCCTGAACCGAAGTTAAGGTTGGCTGGAACCAGTGCCGGCAGGGCATCAGTTTAGGACTTAGTATGTGGGGCTGCTGCCTGAGGCTAACTGAGCGCCGTGCTTAAAGGGACCCTACCCCCACACCAGACAGACAGTTCTCAGGGTTCCCCGCTTGCTTGTCTACCTTGATGAGGGACAGCAAAGCAGCCCTGTCTTGGAGTGCCCTGAGTGCCTGAACGTGGGACACCACAGCAATTGGCTACATGGAGCCAGAGCTGCCCCGGGCATGCCGGTGCCTCTCGTGGGGTCGTTGCCATCAGCTCGGCTACACTTGCTGCAGGCTGCCATCTGGGAGGTCCATCGGAGGGGCTGTCAGGATCCAGGAGGCCCTGAGGGAGAGCATCCACCCCGAGGAGCCATCAGAGCCTCCCCTGTCCTCCCCACCGGGGGCTCGTGCCCCATTCCTTCCTTATGTCCATCCACTTACCCCTCCCTAGCCCCCCTTCCTGATGTGAAATAAAAGACACATATGTTAAAAAATAGAAACTGGGTTTATTGAACAAAACTGGGGGGGGGAGGGGAATGAACCTCTGGGGAAACTGGGAAAAGGAGGTGGGAGAGGGAAAGGGAGAGGGTAGGAGAGGGGAGGGGGAAACCTAGGAGGAGGGAGCTGGAAGGGGGAAGCAGGGAGAAGAAGGGGGAGGGGAAGCTCAGGGTCTCACCGGACCAACTTGACTTTCATGCTAACCAGCTCCTGGGTTTGTATGTTGCCTTTGGTGGCCAGGCTAGCAGCTATCCTGCCATAGATGGCCGCATTCCTCCGTCTAGTGCGGAGATCATGGACATTGGAGGCATCCCCCCCAAACCTGAATAAGGTCCATGATCCCCACCCTGGCCCAGGAAGGCGCCCACCTTCTCCAGCCCCTGTCAGGCTCCTGGGAGCTGACAGACTGCTCCTGGGGAGGGGTGGAGTGGCTTGCTGGCTCATGTTTTGGGGCCACTGGGTCAGGGGGTCCGGTGGCCACTGCTGGCTCTGGGCTGGAGCTGGCACAGGCACTGTGGCCAGGGTCTACCCCTTTAATGTCTCCGGGGTTGGGGGAGAGGAAAGTAAGTTTTCCTGGTTGTGTCCAGAGTGGCCACCAGGGTTCAATGGGAAGGGCTGGAGGCCCCCTATTTCGAATTAAGTATCTACACAGCACTTAATTCAAAATAGTTATTTCGAATTTGGTGTTACTCCTTGTAGAATAAGGTTTACCAAATTCGAAATAAGGGCTCCTTTATTTAGAATGTATTTCAAAAGAGCTGTTTGCCTGTGTAAATGCTATTAAAGTTAATTAAAAATAACTGCTGTTATTTTGAATTAACTTTGTAGTGTAGACATACCCTATAGGAGAGAGTTATCTCTTTTTCCATCCCTGTCCCCAGCTGCCTCCATGGGGTTATAATTGTCCTGTCCCTATCTCTGGTCCATTGCGCCCACCCCCTCCCGGCATGGTCATTATATAGTATGACTGTCCGTGCTAGCAGAACCCTCCCTTTCTGTATTATGAGAAACAATTGCATTCCAGGAACATTCCATTGTCCTGGAGCAATCAAACCTTTACCTTGCTTTAAGTTATGATAAGAGAAAGCTGTGTACCAAATTTGGAGGTCCTAGCTCTTACTGTGTAGGAGGAATTCTTAAACAGACGGACAGATGGACAGATAATCAGACTCATTCATTCATAAACAATCTAAGGAAGCAAGTACTAGAGTACAAGTCAGTGTTAATATTCTTTAACAAAATCTTCCTTGTCCATGATGCTATGAAATGTACCATATGATAATTGGTTGCAACTGGACATGGTGGTAAAACATTCAAACCTTTGAAAATATCAATGACAATAACATTCGAAAAAAATTTTTAAAGGGAAACATTTTAATTAACTTTTTGTGAAATTCCCCTCCCACATCCCTTCATTTTTCAGCCAGCTATAGAGAAGGTAGAAATGTTTCAAGTTTTTGAATTTTCAATATTTAACACATATTTCTAAGGTCAAGTTACCATAAAGTGTTAGCATGCAACATCATACATTACTTATTAAGGATCAGGTTAATATTAAAAGGACTTATATATAAAATGAAGTATGTATAAGTGGGACATCAAATATGTGAAAGGACTCATTCCAAAAAGAGCTGAAATCATTCTGAAAGATGTTACTGAGAAGAGTAAATATTAGTAAAGACAAGTAAATATTAGTTACCCTGCATTTCCAGGGGAGCAGAAAATCTGATCATTTGCTATATATTTGAGAGAGTTTGTCTGAGAGGGTATGTCTACACTACCCTCCTAGTTCGAACTAGGAGGGTAGTGTAGACATACCCTCTCAGACAAACTCTCTCAAATATATAGCAAATGATCAGATTTTCTGCTCCCCTGGAAATGCAGGGTAACTAATATTTACTTGTCTTTACTAATATTTACTCTTCTCAGTAACATCTTTCAGAATGATTTCAGCTCTTTTTGGAATGAGTCCTTTCACATATTTGATGTCCCACTTATACATACTTCATTTTATATATAAGTCCTTTTAATATTAACCTGATCCTTAATAAGTAATGTATGATGTTGCATGCTAACACTTTATGGTAACTTGACCTTAGAAATATGTGTTAAATATTGAAAATTCAAAAACTTGAAACATTTCTACCTTCTCTATAGCTGGCTGAAAAATGAAGGGATGTGGGAGGGGAATTTCACAAAAAGTTAATTAAAATGTTTCCCTTTAAAAATTTTTTTCGAATGTTATTGTCATTGATATTTTCAAAGGTTTGAATGTTTTACCACCATGTCCAGTTGCAACCAATTATCATATGGTACATTTCATAGCATCATGGACAAGGAAGATTTTGTTAAAGAATATTAACACTGACTTGTACTCTAGTACTTGCTTCCTTAGATTGTTTGCTATCCATGAAAAACAAACTGGATCTCAGAATTCTTCATAAAGACAAGCATGTCATGGACCTTATCCTTTAATAATCAATGCTTTCAGAGAACTAGGAAGCCACAAAAATATTGCTTTGTAGAGATTATAGCAAAGAGTACTCACCTGAGAAGCAACATAAATATGCCAGAGTGAAGACTATGAAGATACTAGCTGTCTTCATGGTGGAGATGCTCAATCTAGGTTAAGTCTGTTCTGTTCTGCTCGGTAGATGCAGTGAATCCCATAGAGAAAGCTCAGATATTTATAGTCATGCCCAGAACCTCCATCCTGATTTGGAAATCACATGCAAAAGATATCAGTGCTACCGGATACCAGAATACGTTTGTTTTTGAGGAAGTCCCAACGTTCTTGGAACGATGCATGCTTTCTCAGCCTTGCCCTCTTGATCTTTTCCCCAAACAGTTTAGTATTTCCATAAGCATTGTGGGTTGATGCATGACAACTACCCTCCCGCAGAAAAACTACTGGCCACAGTGAATCTGATAATGTACACATTTTTGTGGAAATTTTCATTATGGGCTCCATAAAGCACTTTTTAAACTGTCTTTATATTGTTGTAGGTTTCTTTAAATTCCTTCACATCCCATCAAGAGCACTGTACAAATGGAGCATGGATTGCCTGATAGCCGTATATCTCCTATTACATTTCAAATCTCTTAAAATAGACTGTTCAATTCAACCATCAGTTTGATTACAGATACATTTCTTTCATAGCTCAAAATTAATCCCCCTTTCAAGCTGTTCTCAGATTCTTGCCTCCCTAAGTATCACTGCCCAGATTCACTTGTCTCAGAAGTTCTGTTCTTTTCCTGATTAAATCTCTCTAGATATATATTCAGTGTTCAAGTATAAGAAAATAAAGAGTCAAAACAAGGCAACAGTCAGCTTTTATTCTTTCCTCATGAAAGTAGGGTTTGCTAGGTTCCTAGACATTACCATATACAGAAACATAAGATCATAATATACCAACCTTGATTGGAAAATATCATTTTTTCTCTTTTTTTAAGTGACAGAAAGAAACTCAGGCATGTTATATGGGAATTACTGGCCAAAAGGGAAGCATTTGGTTTTTTTTAGCTCCCTCCTATTAATCACATTCCATAAGAAATTAAATATAAATGAAAGCCTGATAGGCTTTGGTCAGACCGATGCTCTCAGTTGGGAGAGGTCTTAAACCTGTTATCAAAGGAAACTGGGGATTCATCTGTAGTAAAAACAACAAGAACAAAAACCCTCTTACAATGGGAAAAAGCCAACATAACTCTCTGCATCTCTTTCCAGGTACCCTGAATTCTATGTTGGCATTGTGAAAGTTTCATCATTTCTGCTACTCCTTTGTTGTTCTCCAGTGCACTTCTTTTACACCCTGGCTTTTGTTCAGTTTGGGCTCAGTATTTGTCCCCCTGAAAACTACTCTAGAGTTTGATAGCAGATAGATGCAAGAAATATGTTGCATGCTCCTACATTGCTTCTCGTATAGACAAGGATTCCAGTATATACTTTGTTCTCAAACTGTGGTGCAACAATTTATCCGTATATACTGTAAGGATTTTTTGAGACTTTTGAGACTAAACTTCATGTTTTTCATACTGATAATGAACAGTCAATAGGTAATAATTTGCTGATTTATCAATAGCCAATTAACTGATACCCAGTAACTGATAAAAATTGAATTGTATTTATAATTTTCATAAGAGTGGTTGTCTCAAGTTTAGTTTTGAATAACAACAACAAAACTCAGATAAGTCAGCTTTCAATCAGATTTTATTGATAAAAAGATAGTAAAGACATTACCCACAACCATAGAATACCTTCCCTTGGAATTGTTCCTGACAGCTTGCTTCCAGTTGTTTCCCCTTTCACAAATTAAATCCTTGTTATCCCTTCTTCTTTACCATGATGACCCCAAACAACTTCCTCCTTTTGGAACATACTTCTCATCTCAGGTTATTTCCTAAGTCCTCCGTTCCCTTGTAACTTTCCAACTGTCTCAACCTGGTAGCTGTTCATTGTTTATTCCCTTATTTGGATCATTTTATTCGTTATGCATTTTGCACACATTTTGTGGTAAGTATTACTAAAATGTTACAATAATTTCAAAATACATGGTTACTGTTTGGTAAAATTCCAGTACTCATAGTTAGCCAAAGTGCAAAGCATCACAGGACTCTAGCTCCCAAGCAAGCTGTAGATTTGTCCTTTGGCCTGTTTAGATATCAAACAATCGCCCAATTCACCTACACACTTCCCTTAGTGATGTTTTAGTTTTGAGACTGACTAGTCAAGGCCCCCACTCCTCTTTCTCTTCCAGGAAGTGCTAAACATGAGCAGCAATAAGAGCCCATTTCCTTGGTTTGAGATATTCTTTCAGTATAACAGAACATATGAACAGGTGTCAGAGACAAGTCACCCCTCCTTCTACTATGGATTCATCACCCTATGCTGGAGTTGTTGGATGGGAGAGTTACTGTATGATCTGTAAGAAAAATGCTCACATTCTTTTCTACAGTGTATTGTGTGACACAGCTGTAGGCAGTAACTGGACAACAGAGCCAATAAACTCCGGAGAGATGCCTCCTGTGGATAACTGTCAAATCTTTATTTCAGAAGGATTTACCCGTAATGGTGAAAGATTATAGTTACCAAGCAAGAAATTACAAAAATGTAAAAGCCTCATGATTTCATAGGGTATGTCTACACTACAAAGTTAGTTCGAACTAATGGACGTTAGTTCGAACTAACTTTCATAGGCGCTACACTAGCGCTCCGCTAGTTCGAATTAAATTCGAACTAACGGAGCGTTTAGTTCGAACTAGGTAATCCTCATTCCACGAGGATTAAGCCTAGTTCGAATTTACTAGTTCGAATTAAGGGCTGTGTAGCCACTTAATTCGAACTAGTGGGAGGCTAGCCCTCCCCAGGTTTCCCTGGTGGCCACTCTATGCCCCCCTCCCAGCCCCGGACCCCTTAAAGGGGCACGGGCTGGCTACGGTGCCCGTGCCAGGTGCAAGCCTGCCAGCACCCAGCCAGCAGACCCTGCACCTGGCACGGATCGAGCCACCCACCCGATGCCCCCCAGCCCTCCCCCTCTTCCCGGGACCAGGCTGGCGGCTCCCGGGAGCTTGCCCGGGACCGCAAGAGGCGGGCACCCGCCTGGGCTAGTGCAGACATCGTGGACCTCGTCCACGATCTCCGCACTAGGCACAGGAAAGTGGCCGGCTAGGGCAGGAGAGCTGCCAGCCTGGCCACCCAGGAGCAGGTGTGCATGAAAATCAAGGGGGTCCACTGAGACCCCCGACCCTGAGCCTTGAGCTTACAATGGCTGTCCTGGGTCAGACCAAAGGTCCATCTAGCCCAGTAGCCTGTCTGCCGACAGCAGCCAACCCTAGGGACCCTGGAGGGGATGGACCGAAGACAGTGACCAAGCCATTTGTCTCGTGCCATCCCTCTCCAGCCTTCCACAAACCTGGGGCAGGGACACCACTCCTACCCCCTGGCTAATAGCACTCCATGGACCCAACCTCCATGACTTGATCTCACGTCCCTTTAACCTCTGTTCTAGTTGTAGCCTTCACAGCCTCCTGCAGCAAGGAGTTCCACAGGTTGACTCTTTGCTTTGTGAAGAAGAACTTTCTGTTACTAGTTTGAAGCCTGCTACCCATTCCTTTTCTTTGGTGTCCTCTAGTCCTTCTTTATGGGAACTAATGAAGAACTTTTCTGAATGCACCCTCTCCACCCAACTCCTGCTTTTAGAGACCTCTATCCTGTGCCCCCTCCGTCTCCTCTTTTCTAAGCTGAAAAGTCCCAGTCTCTTTAGCCTCACTTCATATGGGACCTGTTCCCAACCCCTGATCATTGTAGTTGCCCTCCCCTCTCCCAGCCTCTCTCTTCCCCTCTCCCACCTCCTTTTCCCAGTCTCCCCCAGTTTTGTTCAATAAAGACAGATTCCATTTTTGAACACAATTGTCCTTTATTTTGTACATCAATAAGAAGGGGGGCTAGGGAAGGGTAAGTGGAAGGAGGTGAGGGAGGAATGGGGTACGAGCCCCCGATGGGGAGGACTGGGCTGGCTCTGCGGGCTTCTGGGTGTGGAAGCTCTCCTTCAGCCCCCCAATTGCCCCCTCTTCCCAGATGGCAGCCTGCGGCAAGTGCAGCCGGGCTGATGGCTGAGTGCTGTGATGTGCCGAGTGTGAGTACTCAGGGCACTCCAAGCCAGGACTGCTTTGCAAGCAGGGCTCCCCTGAGAACTGTCTGGCCCGGGTGGGGGTCGGGACCCTTTAAGCGCAGCCCTCGGCTAGCTCGACTGAGTTAGCCCTTAGAGCATTTTATCTCTTCTGTTTTCTCTGCATTTCACATGCTAAACACCAACAGCATCCCATACAAGAGTACATGAATTTCAATCTAACCATGGAATCCATGTAGCAGAAATATATTCTTATGCTTATGGCAATTGGCAGCTTTGGCTATTTTATCTATCTCTTTTCCCATGAGCATTAATGCTTTTCCACAACAGATTTAATGGTCACAGTGCTGTTACCAACAACACAGTGGAGGAAAAGCAGAAATTAGTAAACACCAGAATCATCATCATCCTGGCTGGCAACAGCTGGAACACAAAAACACAGATAAGACATAAATTGAAAGAAAATGCCATCTAGAAATTGAGTTAAAAACATTAGTCTGTCAGTAGGAACAGTAAGGCTTGTAAACCAGTAAATATGACCACATGAAGGCTTCTTGCATTAATCTGCCTTGGGCCTGATTGTACTATTATATACACCCATTTCACACAGGTGTAACTCCATGGACTTCATTGGAGTGTCTCTTGATTTATAGCAATATGAGAGGGAAAAGAGACACAGTGTGTTACTATGGATTTGCAGCCACTTTAGTAAGCCATGGAGGGAATTCTGATGGTTTCCTGTTGACATTTTGATTGTTTACCTTTCCTCAACTAATGAGTCAAGTCTCCCAACCCCTATGACTTCATAGCAAATGGAGCCAGGACCTTTCAGCACCATGAGATCCCTTCAGGAGTTGGAATCATAACTGGAGAGGTACTGGCCAGAAAGTTTGCTTTATGTCTATGACCCCATTTTATACACACTGATGTCCACAGTATATTACAGGAATAGACCGATTTAGATAAATACGTTATATCAGATAGAGAAATGTCATAAGTGGTGTTCACAATTATTTATGAAGGCAAAATCCAGTTTGGGCCCTTTTAAAAGTCAGACCCATCTTTCAAAGAATAAATCAGACTTTCTTTAGCAATAAACATTCTATGGATTTTGTTTTTAATAGGCAAACCTTTCCCAGGGGTTAGAGGCATCACCCACAGGACTGGATAAGGCTGCAGCAATGGTTACATACTTAAGAAGAAGAAGAAGTCTCAGAGAGAGGAGCACATGACCAGCTGTTATCTTTATGACTATTTAGTTTGGACACAGTCTGTTGCTCTTCTGCTCGATAGATGTTCTCACGGTCCAGTCTGCAGATCAAGCTGTCAGGTATGTAAATATAGACAAGTCAGATTCTCCACTTTGATTGTGAGGAACTTTCTGAACTGTCAACTGACAATAAAACCCACACAAAACTATTTGTGATCCTGCCCTGGTCTCAGAAACATGCGTTTTAACTTAACCAAGTTCCTTAAATACTGCATCAAATATATGAGGTGCACAGAATAATACATTTAAAAAAACAGATGAACAGTAATCATTACTCAACTATTTCCTCCAATGGGCACATTTGTTACAAAGGGTGGACAATATAGCCAAAGTATATTGAGCATTATCTCCTACATCTATACCTCACATTTAGGTAAAGGGGTGTAACCATGTCATCCCATCCAGAGCCCCCCTACATGGCAACAGCAGGGCTCTGGAGCATCCCTGCCTCCATTTCCTTCCAGATGGCTTATCTGTGAGTCCAGGTTTTCTTTATATGCCTAATAGCATCCCCCTTCCAGGGGTCAAAATAACAAAAACTTCAATACAAAGGAGAAAGAACAATCTTCATACAGCTTCCTAGGTTCCCATTTGTTATGTCGTGGGGAGTTTACAGTATAGGAAGAAATCAGTGGAAATGCAGAGAGCTTGAGTAGTTGCAAGTGTCCATTTTATTGCATAGCACAGAACTAACTAGCACAAGCCCAGACTAGCTGGGCTGACCCCAGTGACCTACTCAGTTACTATAACAACAAGATCTATATCTACAACCCAATGTGAAAGTAGAAAGAATTATAGTGTAAGAGAAAGATGAATTATACTGTAATAATTGAATAAGTTGAAGGAATACTATTTGTCTCTGAACAGGAAAGAGATGATTATGTTTGTAGGTATGCAGATCAGAATGAAGCCAGGTATGCCTGGGATAACAGGAAAAGGAACATTAGGTGTTAGGCAGAAAGTAATTGAGGTAACCAGAGAGATATGAACAGGAGATTGCTGTGTGCTTGATGTGGAAATGAAGATACTTGACTAGTCTCATACTAATCATGTGAAGTTTTACCACCTTTTAATCTTGTTAAGTTGGCTTTCTTTTGACTGTATCTATCTAAGGGCCTTGTATGGTACTCACATTTTCTGGGTGTATTAGCAGAGCGGCTTTGCTAATAAACAGAACAGTCTGACAAATCTGTGAGTCCTGTGTGTCTGATTTTGACAATTATATACAACATATTCCTCCCCCCTTAATAAAAACATCCCCTTAAGAAAACAAAAACTAACTAAGAAATGACGGTAGACCGCCTCAAATTCCCAGCTAACCCTGGGGATTTGTTTGCCCCAGCTGTGAGTTAATCTCAACTAAAGGTCCAGCCATTGAGGAGGCCTCCTTTCTCTAGGTGGATTATGGCGGACATCTGGCATTCTCGCACCCGAAGATGTTATGGGTGCAAGCCTGGCACTGGGCTGGGAACTTGAAGTGTGAACAGGGGAGGCTGTTGGATCAGCCTGCTCAGGGAGGGGGTTATTGCTCACCGCTGGTGGTGACGGAGGAGGAGAGTCAGGAGCAGGTGATTCTTGACACGGTAGCTCACCAGCAGTGGGAAGGACGGGCAACTCAACTGGAGATGTGCCTTGGGGGCAGGAATAACCTGTCAATAACTGATCTACATGCCGCCACCAGATGAGATCCTTCGCAGTCTGGATAGTATAGGAAACAAGTTCTGTTTGAGCAATAATAGTGGCAGGGACCCATTTAGCTCCAGGAGCATAGTTCCGAGACAAAACTGGCTGTCCAGGACTAAAGGTTCAATCTTTTGCTCTGGATGCACGCCTGATGACTTGACCTTGCTGCTGATGTTGCACAATATGTCACGGTTCTGAAGGTTTCAGCAAATCAAAGTCATTAGAAAAGCCGGAGACACTTTGGTTGTAGCATGAGGAGTGTTTCTGTAAGATAGTAAGAAGGTGTCCAGACTCTTTTGTATGAGTGAATGTCCTCTAACCGATTTCAAAGCTTGTTTCATTGTCTGAACAAACCTTTCAGCCAATCCATTTGTGGCTGGATGATAGGGTGCTGAAGTGATGTGATGGATCCCGTTTACTTTCATAAAACTCCTAAGAGACAAACTGTGGACAAACTTTGGTTCAGGAAGACCAAAATGACAAAAGATTCCCCCTAGTTTTTGGATAGTACGCTCAGCAGTAGTGGAAGGCATTATACAGAGTTATATATCTCAACTAAAGGCCATTTGGAATGAGCATCTACCACCACCAATAATATGCTACCTTCAAATGGGCCAGCAAAATCAACATGAATATGTTGCCATGGTTTTTCAGGCCAGTCCCATGGGTGTAGAGGTACCAATTGAAGTGCATTCCTCACACCTTGGCAAGAAATACAAGCTCTTGCCTTCTCTTCAATGTCACTCTTCAAGCCAGACCACCAAAAATAGCTTCGTGCAATTTCTTTCATGCGCACCATTCCACAATGACCTGATTGCAGTTGCTCTAACATCTGTTGTCGCGGTATTTTTGGAATAATGACACGCATTCCCCACAACAAACACCCTGAATGGGTTGATAACTCGGTTCTCCTGGACATGAAGGGGTCAAGGTCAGGTGAGACCTGAGAGTTCTGTAGAGATGTTCCACGCATCACTAGTTCCATTACTTGGGACAGTACTGGGTCAACACGAGTTGCTCTCTTAACTTGTGCAGCAGTGATGGGCATATTCTCTACATGTTCAAAGTAAAAGATTTCCTTCTGGCCACTATCTTGATGTTTGACTGGCAAAGGCAGCTTAGAGAGACCATCTGCATTGCCATGCAGAGTGGCTTTCCGATATCTGATCTCATATGTGTGTCCTGAAAGCCACAATGTCCATCATTTCATACGACTAGCAGCCATTGGTGGAATACCTGTGTGTGGACCAAAAATTGCTGTCAGAGGTCGATGGTCAATGAGATGTGTAAACTTCCGTCCAAACAGGTACTGGTGAAATTTTCAAATTGCTGAAGGCATAACATGTGACAAGACCTCTCCCACTTCATATGAGGAGGCATCACAAGCCAACTGTAAAGGTAAGGATGGATCAAAATGTGTCAGGACCTCTGCGTTTAGCAATGCACATTTAGCCTTGTTAAATGCAACATCACAGGCGTCAGTCCACTTCCAGACCTTTTTCAGGCCAAGGAGCTCGTGAAGTGGTTTTAATAGTGTGGCTAGCTGTGAAATAAACCTTCCATAATAGTTCAATAGTCCTAGAAATGAGTGAAATTGACTCACATTTTGAGGGGGTGGAGCCTCCACAATAGCCTTAACTTTTGAAGGGGACATATGAAGGCCAGTAGCATCAATGATGTGTCCCAAATATTCAACAGAGGGCTGAAAGAATGCACATTTTTTTGGTAATGCTAGAGAGCCTCTTAAACTTGACATAGCTTAGGGCCCCAGCATGTCTTAATCCAGCCCTGGAGGGAGCCGTTTCCTCACCCCGAACACTATCTGCGGTGGGCCTCAGAGACTGCCAGAGCTCGGGCTGTCTGAGCGAGGGGTGCTGCGACCGGACCGCTCGAGCCCACAGTGCGGGCCTGGCACAGCCGGCAGGCTGCGGATTCCCGGATTGGTAGCTGCTGGGCTATTTTAGAAAGGCAGGCTCTGCCCTTGTGATTCGAGCTGGGGACTTGGCACTGCAGCGGCCCTGCCCCTGACTTGCCGTGTGACCTTGGGCACGTAACTCCACACCGCTTTGTTCCTGTGCAGCACCTTCCCTCGTGGGAGCTCAGCAGGGAAGGCCCGCAGGACTGAGCCGGGCCCTTCGGAGGAGCCCA